TTTTATTTTTGATAGCTGAAGTGAAAGGCCCAATACTCATCAAGGTCCAAAGATTTTATCACATCATTTTAGATCAGCTGGAGAAACAAAGGAGCTGAGAGAATGAGAATAACAGTAATAGCATAATGCGCATGATCTCAAGGTCCTTGTATAAACTGTTACTAGAAATAAATATCTGTTAGATCCAGATGCTTCTCATATTAACCAATAATAACAGGTTCATTTCTTACAACAGAAAAAGTGGTACTCTGGAGAAGTTTCTATATTTTTCCACAGAATGTAAAAGAAAACAAGACAATTCTGGAGAAAAAAAAAAGAAGATTTACTCTCAAAGCGCAGAAACACAGTTAGTGTGTCAATCACGTAACACTGCCCTGGAATAAAACACACAGGGTAATAAGAAACATAAAATGCTAAATGAATATTACATGTTTTTAAATGGTGAGAGAAAGCAAGCATAGCCTTGAGGTATATGTACAAAGGTTTCTGAAAGGTAAAGGTATGTTTACTTTCTGTCTGTATTTTAAGGAGCACCCTCCCACTTACCTTCCAAATGAGAAGAGGTCATAGACCTCCTCAGACCAAACTACTAGCTCATTTTGAATAGGTATACACATTACATACATTTTAAAAGTTGTAGAGCATTCAGTGAGTTGTTTTCTACCTGTAGAGCTCCAAAGTTCATTATAAAATCAAAGTTAAGGTTCTCCTGAGGTCTGTTTTAAAATGGAATAATCATAAGAAATGCTTGAGCCACTGGCACAACTGATACATGTTTCTGCAGGCACAAAAGAAGGGAAAATAAAAAAGGGATTTTCCTTTTTTCCCCTCTAACAGAGTGGAAAGGAAACCAAGCATCTTTTCCCATGCTAAACATCCACATTTACATTACGATGAGTAACAGCAGAAGCAGAGTAACATTTAGTAGCATTAGCAATAAGCCTCAGAATCAGACAACCATTCGCCTTTGACTTAATTAGTTTCTTTGTAAGAATTAAATTGTATTTTTCTCACAGAAGAATGTTTTGAATTTTATTGCAGTCTGGTATTAATATTCAAATCCAACAACCCCTCTTGGGCACAGCAGAATGACTGCATTTATTTTGCCACAAGAAAACACAATGCAGCCCCCAAGTGTATATTTTCAGTGAGAGAGGAAGAGGATGGCTAGCTATTTACAAATAAGCCAGAGAACATAATATTGTGATATTATATTCTACAATAACGTTAATGTTTAAGACAAAAAAATAAGGAAACATGCTAAAGTACAAACTCTGGTGAAATGATCTGCCCTTTTGTTTTGCATCTTTACGCATCTGAACAGCAACAGTTCACCTACAGAGTCAGGGCTATGTGTTCACGTGCACTCACTCAAATCGGTTAAGCTCATGGCAGTGCTTCCCAGACTATGTACTGTGAGGCTACAGTATGCGATGCACGGCGACCCAAAGACTACATAAGGACCCACAAGTCCAAAGCAGTTGCATTTCTTCTACATTAACTGCCACACAACGCCACTGTCTCCTTGAAATGAGATTTCACATACTTAGTCTATTCTTTACACAACAGGCCTTGCTGCTACTTAACAGCTCATAAAAAAGTAATTCAGGGAGGGCTTGCACCATACTGAACATAGTCATGAAACTGTCATCTGCACAGTCTTTGCCAACCCCTCTGTAGCTTCTTCCACAATATAACACTGGTTTATTGCACCTTTCTGCAAGTTATTTTCTGGCTCTTACAGAAAGGAAACATGGGACAGTGGAGCACAGAAATTGCCCATAGCGTGTTAAACCACCAAGTTGTCCTCATGACCTCTCATCGAATATATCTACTGCTTGGTTTTAATAAATGGTCTTTCATGGTAAAATGTATACAGAACAGGACCCAAGATTAAAACTGGTCACTATTTACCAATTTCTCCAGAAATCAAGTTTCTAAAAGTGTCTTTCCCCAGAAATCAGCACATTCAAAGCCTCACTGTACATATATCACTGCCTATTGGTGACTGTTTACCTGCTCTTCTCAAGAGACTAAAAGATGTCAAACATAACTATTACTCTTTTGCAAACATAACTAATGCTCATTTGAAAAAGGAATTTGATACAGGGTATCAGGGCAAAGTCTGCTAAAAGGAAGAATCCATGTGCTCATCTGTAAGAATGCATAAGCAAGTAGCAGCTTTGGGCCCCTGTTATAGGCAAGATCAAAAACATTGTCTTTCAGCTAATCAAACACAAAATCTATAAGAAAAAGGAACAACCCTGGGTCACAGAACAAAGTTGTTATAACAAAACACTACCATCAACAAATAGTTCAAGGTGGTTTGGACCAAATTTTCAGAACGTATGACATCAATCCAGGACAAATCTGTCATTTAATGGTTGGCTGCCCACAGCATGCACAAGTGAATTCTACCAATGCTTCAGTGCATTTGCTAAGTGCTCACACTGTAACAACCTCTTGGAACACTTATTTGAGAACATGAATTATAGGTTTAATACAAGACTGACAAAACACAGAAATTCAGGTTCCTGTGACATTAGGCAAACTAACTGGCAGGCCTCCAGGGAATGGGCCAGCTCTTGCAGTCCATAAACACCCAAGCCTTCAGTTGTCATTGCAAGCTTTGGTTGTGAGGAAAAGAGTAATGGCCCTAAGGAATTACATTACAACTGTCAAGATGCAGATGCTTTGCAGAAAGATACTGCAACTTTTCCAGTACCACCTCCTGATATAAAATACCACAACTCGGAACAGCTATGCTCAATATATGAGGATGAAAAACTGCCACTTTTGTCATTATGAAACCTAATTTGTACCCAGACTCAGAAACTTGATATATAGGATAATAGAAGGGAGTCTCAGTGCTTCAGTCATCAAACAGCCCTGCTTCTTATGTGTTCAACTAAATTAATTTATCAAATACAAGTTGACATATCAATTTGATATAATTGTATGAAATCTGATTCATATATCAAATACAAGAGACAAATACTCTGAGATTAAGACTACTGAAATGATAAACCTGGAAGTCATTTAGGACTGCCTCTCTGTGAAACACAGGTATAACAGAAACCACTCAATGAATATGTTCCTACTACCATAGTTTTAATTTGCACTGAATCTTGGACTAAATTCAGAAATTCAACAGCTAGAAGACAAACTATATATTGAGTGGAGTTGTAGTACGCAGTCTTCGAAAATTTAAAAATACTGTGCGAATTTCCAAATAAAGATATTAAACGTTTCAAAAAAAGAAAAATTAAAAAGGTATTAATTAAAAGGGAGCTACCTTATTCTAGACCTTTTGTGCTCAAAATGTTAATGACAATTAAAAATTAACAACTTTGTGCCTTCAAAGAGTAGCCATTGTACTTTGACATTATCCATCAAAATTCCTTTTACTTTTTTACTTTCAGAATGACTGACAAAATGTCATACTACGGAAAATTCAGCATCTCACATTCCACAGTTTTCAGGATGTATAGAATCAAGGCACTTATTTCCCATTTCTCCAAGAAGGACAGTATTTTACAAAATCTTTGGGTCATACTATATTTGATCTGACCCTTCACTATGGCAGGATGTATTTAGTATTTGTAACAAGAGAAAAAAACATGACAGCTTTCAAGAAGTTAAATGATAACATTCACAGCCTTGTTTTCTAGCAGATGGTGCAAGGTAGCTAGCCATTTCAAAAGAAGCAGCTTTGGGAATGTTGGAATCATTGGGGATGAAAGTGACTCAGGAGGTCTCTAATCCAACCTCAGGCTCAAAGCAGGGTCAAAACTCAATTCCCATCAGGTAGCTTAAAAAGAGATTTTTTTTTTTTTAATAAGCAAACAGTTTAACCTACTTGAGTACTATAAACAGTATAATATATATTTGGTAAAATCGATGATTATTTCAAAGCATCACTACAAGGCAAAATTCAGGTTGTTTAATTTTTAGCCGTGAATGCCCAGATCAAGACATTTTAGAGCTGCTTTTAGGTTTATCTCTAGTTCTGAACTCCCAGAGGGTTTAATATTTACCTTGTAAATGTTTTTTATTCTCACACTTCTGGTATGTGTTGTTATTCTTTTTATATGGATCCTACAAATACTATTTACTTGAAAGATTTGTGTGTATTTATAGGCACACACACACAAAGTAAAAGCATAAAAATTATAAATAATAAAAAATAATAACACTTTAGGAAGGTGAGGAGGTGTTTCATGTTGTAGTTGAAGTGTATAAATGTAACTATGCTAGATTTATTCAGACTATATATTACATTAAAGTCTCTGTGTCAAATGTTTCCTATTGAATAGTTGTCACTGAGTATCTACAGCTAGCCAAAAGGAGCAATTAAGCATAACAACTCAAGAAGAATTTAGACCAGATGACTTGGGCTCTTCCATACCCACTGAACTGTGTAATGTTATAAGTATTAAATAGGCAATACTATAGTCTCTAAGATTTCTATTTAACTAGACTAATTTGGGGGGGGGGGGTCATGTTAAAGTAATTACATTGATCACACAATCCGTTTTCATAAGTAAGCAATTTTGAAAGTCTAAAGTCTACAACCACATTTTGAATAAACAAACATTTCAGCAAATTAGAAGACAGCACCGCAATTGTTAAGTACCTTGGATTGACCTAAACCAAACTTTTGCTTAACATTACTTCCAGATTGTTCAATAAGACTGTGATGGAAGACTAAAAGACATTTTCAGAAGGTTATTCTATCACTTGTTTTAAAAATTCATGTGTTTACAAGCTATTAGTTTATTTCAACACCCACTGTGTTAAGCTTTCAGTAATACTTGATGCAATTAAGCTTGCACTCAATTTTAAGTATGGCATTTTTAAAACTTTTAAAACTTATTAACATTATGCTGCCTGTTTAACTCTTGAATTTGATGAAGGAGCTATCAAAAACATTGGTGCAAGTACTGTATTAATTATTTTACTTAAGTTAGTTTTTATTTAATGGATAGAATAAGTATTACCGTGAACTTCTTGTTGCAGTTATTTAAAGTTGTCTTCCTTTGACACGAATACTGAGATACTTTGCTTGCAATAAATGGCAGTGCTTCTGATTCAGGCATATTCAAAGGAGGAGAATAGCCTTGTTCCTAACAAGGGAAAAAAAAAAGGAAATGATGGTGACACACCAAACACCTTCAAAAAATTGCAAAAATACTTTTCACAAGACCAGAATATGTACCTTTAAAAAGAAGGCAAGAGAATAATACTGCTCCTACTATCTTCCTATGAAAAACATTTAATTTCACATTGGCTGCACAGACAATACCATTTTTTCTAGTGATTACTGGGATTTTTCATTTCCTGCAGTAAGTTCTTCCAGGAAGTTTTCAATGGTTTTGTCATTAAAAAAAAAAACAGAAAAAAAAGCATCTCCAAATGGCAAGTATCTCTACATATTATTGCAGTGAGATTGAAAAACTAGAAAGCTTTGAGAGTGGATAAGCTTGAAAGAATGGAGTTTTCCTGGAAAACACTAGATTATTCAATATAATATCGGGGGGGGGGGGGGGGGGGGAGGGGGCGCAGAAAAGAGAGAGTGGTATGCTCAAATGTCAAATAATTGACTTTTGAGATCTGTAGCCAGATCCAGTATCCAGTAGTGAAGGAAAAATGTTTGCATTACTTCAAAATCCACTTTCCCCCTCCCTTTCCAGATAAAATGAAAGAAAATATTTTTTGTTTGGATTTAATTCATTGAGCTAAATGTTCTATTTTGCGGTCATTATAAAGCTAAGGAAACATTTACAAACAGCCATAGAAGAGTCACCTCAATGCCTTGACCCAACAGCCGGCATTCACCTTATGATGCAGTTTCTCACTCCGTCCCTTCAGTACATGGTTGATCCAATTCAGGTATCATTTTTAGGTTCACTGAGCAAGGAAAAGGATCCAGGTACCAAATCTTACATGCAAGTTTTCCATGCCCAGGCTACCTACATTTGCATTTGCTTTTCGCCTAATTTTGATGCAAGATTGACCAAGTTCCCCAGTAGGGTGGGAAGGGAATTCTCTCAAAACGTAAGATACATAGTCATGTCCCCATTGGCACAAGAGCATGAGTCTTCAATATCCTCAACAGCAACTACAAAAAGACAATCTAGCACCAACCTTGTGCTTTATATGCCCACTCTTTTAATTCCTTTGGTTTCATTAAAAATGCCCAAATCCAAAATACTTTGGACATGCTGAAAACGTTCTCAGTGTTTCTGTGTATTGTTTGCTATTTGTCATTTTGTCTGAAGACATTTGGCAGATCTGTCAAAAGCATACTGCATTGCACTATCCAAAAGCCACAGGGAAATGGTTCAACAACAACAAAAATACCACAAAGATACACAAGAGAAATTTTTACCCCCAAAATGGAATGTTGAGCCCTCTCTCTCCAGTATCTAAAGACATGCAGACAAAAAACTAGCATCTGTGCTAGACAAACTCATAAATATGTGTGTGTGCCTTCACACACACACAGAGCCTACATATAATTTCATGCTAAATTGCCTTTGTATTTGATGCAGAATAGTTAAATAACAGTATTCACACACACACAAAAAAAGCTTTTGCTTGCACAGCTGAAGGAGCAGTGAATTATATGGCAGGTTTTATAGTATACACTGAAAGGAAGCAAGTTATTTTATGTGTAAGACCACTCTTGGGAATAACCAAAATGGGTTCAACAGCACAACTCATCCACTTTTGCACACATTCATGAATTATACTTTAAAAGTGATTTTTAAATCATATAAACAATGATTGATTACAGCAAAAGCAGGTCCAGAAAAGGGCAACAAAGCTAGTGAAGGGTCTGGAGAGTAAGTCTCATGATGAATGGCTGAGGGAACTGGGGTTGTTTAGTCTGGAGAAGAGAAGGCTCAGGGGGGACCTTACGCTCTCTGCAACTACCTGAAAGAAGGTTGCGGTAAGGTGCACAGGTCAGTCTCTTCTCCTAAGGAACAAGGGGTAGGACAAGAGGTAATGGCCTCAAGCTGTACCAAGGGAGGTTTAGACTGGCTTCACAAAGAGGGTGATTAGGCCCTGGAACAGACTACCCAGGAAAGTAGTAGAATCACTGCCCCTGGAAGTGTTCAAAAGCCATGTATATGAAACCCTCGGTGGTATGGTTTAGTGGCGGTCTTGGCAGTCCTGGGATAATGGTTGGACTTGATGACCTTAAAGGTCTTTTCCAACCTAGTCGATTCTATGATTCTAACACAACACTTGAAATTATAGTGCCAGCTGCAAAGACTCTGAACAAACAGAATGTGACTGAATAGAATATATAATAAGCTATTATCTTAATTAGGACATAGACACACAAAGAACAAAAGTTTTACATGTAGCATTACCTGGCATTGTGTATGAGAGCAAAATTAACACAGAAACTTTGTGTTTAAAAGGGTGACAAACTGGCACATAAATATCCTGTCTCTGCCCTATCAAAGATATTTGAGCATTTCTTAATCAATCATAGTTATGCTTTTAAATAACAGGACTTGATTCTATATAACAAAAGAAGACACTTCAGCTAGAAAACAATAGCAAAATCATCTAGCAAACAATAATTACTATAGTCTGATTTTTAGGGAACATTTCAATGCCTGCATGACAATGACATACATGATTTTCTATTATCAGCAGAATCAAAGAACAGGATTGATACTGCTTTTCGGTGGGAAGACCAGATGGGATAAAATCATTTGTACAAGTTATGGGACAAGCTTAAAATTTCATCCAGTAGCAATTACACTGTAGAACAAACAATCCTGGAAACTCACACTACCTCAAAATAATTTGTAATACTAGGAAGAAACAACTATGGATATGAAAAAAATGCAAGCATTACAATTCCCGGTTTTGGGGGTTTTTGGTTTTGTTTTTTTTTTTGTTTTGTTTTGGGTTTTTTTGGGGTTTTTTTGGGTTTTTTTGGTTTTTTTTGTAGATAACTGCAGTACATTAAAATGAAATTACGGTACACTGCAGAGAGGCAACCACTGAAAAGTATCCAAATGTGTAGATTACTTAATTCTAGAGCTAGTCAGAGTTTGCACCCCAAACCCAGTCTGCAGTAACAGTGAATGTCACTGCCACTCTTTCGCAGTGACATTTTCGACATGGCATAGCAGGAAAATCGGCCTGTACCACTAGCCTTAGCTTGTACAGCATAAAGGCTTAGTTGCCTTTATGATCTTGTATTGTACTACTTTACTCTTTGTCAATCTATTCTTTTAATACAAAGGAATATAATAACATAGGGAAATAATAGAGAATATGGAGCAGCAGTAAATAAAGTGTGCAGATACTAGAGCCTGTGTCAGGCCACATTATTCAACAGCCAGCAGCTTTGTGAAGTCCAGGGAGCACTGATCAAATACCAAAGTCTCCAGATACCCAGTATTTTATGAAGACAAGGCAGCCAGTTTATAAGTTGCATTTTATTTTCTGGGAAAATGACTGTTAGTATGAAGAATTTCTACCAACAGTATGAAGAATTTCTACCATCAGTTAGAGCCTCTCTCACAAGGAAACAGAGCAAGACACTCTGGAAGATGTTACATATCAGTTGCCTGTCACATGATATGACAAAGGATCAAAAGATGCACTACTTCCTTTTCCTAATATGAAGGGAAATCCCTTGTTCAAGGAAATAAATACTTCCCTTTCTAAAAAAAGAATTTCTGGGTTCTGACTAAGGAAAAGGCAGAAGATAGGCAGTGATAACAGAGTTCATAAGGCTGCTGTGCATGCCAACCCACTTACGGTTCTCTTGCTTTCTTTTTATCCCTCTGAAAGCTTCCTCTCTGCCTCTTTCTTTTTATTACCCAGGTAACAGCACTACTTTCTAGCATGTGAGGATGACTTTGCATACATATTAATGTCCATGTCCTGCTATTGCCCAAAATGCCCATCTGCTTGTGGTGGGAAAGGTGTCTCTGGACAAAGGCATTCTTTTAACAGAGGTTTGAATTTCCCTTTAAAGCAGATGTTTGGCTACCACACTTTCACAGCCTATTAAATTAAATGATAGCTATTAACTGTAAAAGTCAACTGTTACTGAATGAATCAATAAGAATTCAGACCGTCTTTGATCTGGTCACCCAACCTTTTATACTCTATAAATCACTACCATCAGAGCATCTCTCAGATCACTAGCAATGGCAGAAAGATGTACTTTAGTGACAATTGCAATTAGTATGTTAGCTAATGGTCTGTGACTCTGACTTTATTCCCCTTGTTTTGCACGGAGAAGGACATTTCTTTTTAGTACAAATGTCCTGAATGAAGAATGACCTTACAAACAGGCTACTGTAAGATCTGAAATATGAAATCTTACTGCTATTAATAGGAATTGTGTCACTAACATAAATGTAGACAAGACTTCACCCAAAACATTAGCCAACTTTACCTCAAAGCCTTCACAATGTAGCCTGAGTTCAAAGTTTGCTAATTCACTTTCATTTCACATTTTACAAGTCTGACATAATGGACCAAATTTGTCTTCAGTGAAGCTCCAATTAAATTACATTATGTATGAGTTCGGTCTAGTACTTAAAAAGAAAATTAACCTTTAATTCAATCCTTCCTCATCTCTCAAGGCATAAAAAAAAAGAAAAAAATCATGGTGACATCGCAACAATAAAATTCTTTTTAAATTGGCTCAGCTTCTAAAATCCTCTCTCTTTCTTCCTTGTTTCCTTTACAAAAATGTTTATTACTTTAGAGCCACAACATAATTAAGACTGGTCTTAACTATAAGCTTTAAAGTTAACTGTACAGCTGTCACTGGCTTGCTTATTGCACTCTACATTTATTAGCATGAAATCTTTGTTTCAATAAAAACAGAAATTCTTACTTGCAGAGCCAGTCTCAAAGCATAATAATGATCTCCTGACAGTGCTGTTACCTTTTTCAGAAGTTTCTGCTCCAGCAGTATTCGAGAAGGACTTTTAGATATAAAAGAAAACTAAAGCAGTGGCCTTCTCATTGATTTTTTTTTTCTTTTCTTTTTTTCTTCAAAGTAAGTTTCAGCATTGTTGGGAGGCATTTTGGAGACAGACAAAGGCATTTCTTGCTTTGGGGAAAAAAAAAGTAA